ATTAAAACGTACGGTTTTGCAACATCAGCTCTCAACAAGAACCCTGCGTTCGTGTTTTTGCTTTGCGGGCTCTTAAACGAATTTAGCAATTTCATTCGACTCGACCAAACAGGCCTCCCGCGCCGCATGTCGAAATGGTTATGACGCTCTTTGCATGCGTTTTTTTTTTGGGGGGGGGGGCGACCCCTGCCAAATAATACCATGCGGGCGAATATCGCGCGTCGGCCGCGCGCGCATGTCGAACTCCTTCTGGGGCGCCGTCATTGTCGCAGGCGTGATTCACATCGGCGCCGTTGCTGGCCAGGCCGTCGTCGTTGTAATCATCGCCACAGGCATCGTTACTATCATCATCGTGTCTACCGATGTCGACGCTGCCATGATACCGCGCGCGCTCACATCGCCGATTCGCAAAGACATGCCCGCTGGGAAGTGCCAAGCGGTCAACGTCACCGCGGCCGCGTCGGTCGCGCCAAACTAGCTGCCCGCTGCGCGCGCGAGCCTGCGCGCGCCAGCGCGGCCGCAGAGATGCACAGGCCAACCAACAACAAACACTCATCGCAATCGCCGCCGCAAGGGGTTTTGCAAACCAAATTGGGATGATTGCGCGAGCAGTGGGATTGACAACTCACTGCGAACATCAACTACTTGCAACACGTAGCGTGCACTGCGAAAACTGCACCACAAAAACTGCACCGCAAAGATTGCACTCTTTTTCTTCTTTTTTAAATTAGAACAGTGCCTGGCGAAGGACCCGACCATATGCTCTTGTGTTTCCCGCAATTGTGCTGGGTGGTGGCGGACGCATGCGGGCGGTGCCACTGGGACCTTTGGTGGAGCTCCATATGGGGCCACGAAGCGCTGTACTGGGTGGGTGAAACGCAAGGAGCAACAGCTGTGCTGGGTGGTGGCGGATGCATGCGGGCGGTGCCACTAGGACCTTCGGTGGAGCCCCCCATGGGGCCACGAAGCCTTGTACTGGGTGGGTGAAGCGCAGGAGCAAGGGCTATGCTGGGTGGTGGCGGACGCATGCGGGCGGCGCCACTGGGACCTTCGGTGGAGTTCCCTATGGGGCCACGAAGCGCTGTAGTGGGTGGGTGAAACGCAGGGAGCAAGGGCCGTGTTGGGTGGTGGCGGGCGCATGCGGGCGGTGCCATTGAGACCTTCGGTGGGGCCCCCTATGGGGCCACGAAGCGCTGTACTGGGTGGGTGAAACGCAGGGAGCAAGGGCTGTGCTGGGTGGTGGCGGGCGCATGCGGGCAGTGCCACTGGGACCTTCGGTGGAGCTCCCTATGGGGCCACGAAGTGCTGTACTGGGTGGGTGAAACGCAGGGAGCAAGGGCCGTGTTGGGCGGTGGCGGGCGCATGCGGGCGGTGCCACTGGGACCTTCGGTGGGGCCCCCTATGGGGCCACGAAGCGCTGTACTGGGTGGGTGAAACGCAGGGAGCACGGGCTGTGCTGGGTGGTGGCGGACGCATGCGGGCGGTGCCACTGGGACCTTCGGTGGAGCCCCCTTTATGGGGCCACGAAGCGCTGTACTGGGTCGGTGAAGCGCAGGGAAGAGGGAGGAGGTGGAGGAGGGAGGGTGAGGAGGAGGAGAAGAAGAGAGGAACGCGGTGACCGTCTCTTCCAAACGAGGACCCAACACTCAAGAATGATGGGGGGAAAAAAAACTATGATCCTCCCCCCGAGGCTCGGATTATTCGCTCCTCCTGGGGATGTGCAATTTACATATGACGAAACCCCGTCGCTCATTCCAAATAGGAGCCCCTGGGGATCTTCTGACCCGGGTCGATCTCCAGACCCGGGTCATTCAGGCCTTACAGAATCCTTCCAAATCCTGCAAAATCCTGCGCCCACGCCAGGGTCAACGCGAACGATCCTGCAAAATCCTGTGAGATCCCGTTCCCAAGCCCAAGTCACTGCGACCCTGGCCTTGCAAGATCCTGCAACATCCGGCGCTCTGGAAGAGCCCCGTTTGCAGCGACCATCTCTTGAGCCCCGAAACTCATACGATCCCAGCCAATATCGACTCCCCCCGTCATCTTTTGCAAACGACTGCCATGCGCGCGCACTCGCTTCAACAACTATCAAGGTGCAAGACGATAAGGCTTTGCGTAAAAATTTGCGAAGTGCGCGCGCGTGCGTCGTCACGCTCGTGCAAGCCGCGTTTCGCAAGGATGTCCAAACCGAGTGCCCCGAAAACGTTCGATTAATATTGTAAACAATACAGAAATTTGGTAACATGCCTGCCCCCAAAAAACAAACTCTGAGGGCGCTCTGCGGATTCTTAAAAGAACCATCGGTTTTCAATCATCGACTGCGACCGAACGGGTCTCTCGCGCGCGCGCATGTCGAAATCAAAACCCTTGCGCGCGTGGTGGGGGGTTACGTCCTTGCCAAATAATACCATGCGGGCTACCCGCGCCCGTCGACCGCGCGCGCATGTCGAAATCCTTCCGGAACCTCCATCAACGACGCGTCGACACCATTTATCAGCGCGATCAGCATCGGAGTCGTCGTTGGTCGTGCCGTCGTCATCGTCATCGTCGTCACAATCATGGTTACAATCATCATTGTATCTGCCGTTGTCGACGTCGCCATGATACGGCGCCCACCCGAGCCATCGAGTCGTACTGACGTGCCCGCGCGTTAGCGCGGACTGCGAAACGCGCTGGAAAGTCCCCGGCGGTCAGCGCCACCGCGGCCACGCCGGTCGCGCAAAATTAGCTGGTCGCTCTGCGCGCGAGCCTGCGCGCGCTAGCGCGGCCGCAGCGACATGCTGCCAGCCAGCGACAGGCAGTCATCGCAATCGCCGCCGTAGAGGTTTTGCAATCCAAGTTGCGGGTGGGTGGATGGGTGGGATGATTGCGCGAGAAATGGGGCTGTCAACTTCAAGTTTGGCAGGGTTCCAATTCGGCAGGGTTACTTGAACCACTCAGATTGCACCGCATAGTTTGCACAGCATCCACTAAACCGCATACAGTCCACCGTATGGATTGCACAACCTAGGTTGCACCACCTAGAGTGCACAACATATGTTGCACCATATACTGCACAACCTAGGATGTTAAAACAACTCGCTGTTTGGGGTCCACGCTGGCTGGAATATGTGGTTTGAATGTGCGTTGCATGTGTATTGCAACTGGATGTACGTGTATCGCATGTGTACTGCATGTGTGTTCACCGAACCTTCATTCGAACTCAAAGCCAAAACCTTTAACCTATATGCTTTACTAATACTCTGTACACAGGTACTGTTTAATCCTAGTCGTAGTGATGTTACTACTACTGCTAATGGTTTTGTTACTGGTAGTGGTAGTGGCAGCGGCAATAGTTATGGTAATGGTAGTGGTAGTAGTGACAGTAACCGTTGTAGATGTAACTGTAACTGTTGCTGTTGTCGTGAAAACGAACATGTATGTAGTAGTAGAAGTAGTAGTAGTAGTAGTAGTAGTAGTAGTAGTAGTAGTAGTAGTGGTAGTCGTAGTAGTAGTAATAGTAGTAGTAGTAGTAGCAGTAGTAGTGGCAGTAGTAGTACTAGTAGTAGTAGTAGTAGTAGTAGTAGTAGTAGTAGTAGTAGTAGTAGTAGTAGTAGTAGTAGTAGTGGCAGTAGTAGTAGTCGTAGTATCAGCTCCACCTGTAGTTCTAGTAGCCGTAGTAGTAGTAGTAGTAGTAGTAGTAGTAGTAGTAGTAGTAGTAGTGGTAGTAGTAGTAGTAGCAGTAGTAGTAGCAGTCGTACTAGTAGTAGCACTCATCGTTGTCGTGGTAGTGGTAGTAATAATAATCGTAGTTGTAGTAGTAGACGTAGTCGTAGTTGTAGTACTAGTCGTAGTAGTCGCAGTAATAGTAGTAGTAGTAGTAGTAGTAGTAGTAGTAGTAGTAGTTGTAGTAGTAGTAGTAGTAGTATCAGGGGCGAAACAACTGTTGTTGTAGTAGTCGCACTGTTCGTAAAGGCCGTGATGATAGTAGTAGTGGTAGCGGTAGTACTCATAGTAGTACTAGTAGTAGACGTAGTAGTAGCAGTAGTAGCAGTAGCCGTAGTAGTGATAGAGTTAGCAGTCGCAGTAGTAGTAGTAGTAGTAGTAGTACTACTACTACTAGTACAAGTAGTGGTCGTATTATGAGTAGTAGCAGCAGCAGTAGTAGTAGTAAGTATAGTAGTAGTAGTAGTAGTAGTATTAGTAGTAGTAGTAGTAGTAGTAGTATAGTATTATATAGTAGTAGTAGAGTAGTAGTCGTAGCAGTAGTAGTAAGTAGTAGTAGTAGTAGTAGTAGTAGTAGTAGTATAGTAGTAGTAGTAGTATTAGTAGTAGTATCTATAGTAGTAGTAGTAAGTAGTAGTAGTAAGTAGTAGTAGTAGTAGTAGTAGTAGTAGTAGTAGTAGTAGTAGTAGTAGTAGTACTAGTAGTAGTAGTAGTAGTAGTAGTAGTAGTAGTAGTAGTAGTAGTAGTAGTACTAGTCCGTCATCACCACCATCAACACCGCCATCATCATCAGCATCATCAGCATCATCATCATCATCATCATAAACAGCATCATCAGCACCAGCAACACCACAACTATCTCCAACTACTCATCATCATCATGTGTGTTGAATGGCATCGCTGCGCAATCGCTGCCAAGAAAGAAGATGAATGGCGTCAAGGAAGGGCGAAATCACAGTCGCCCTGCATGGAAACACTCTCGCAAATCGGGCCCATCCTTCCCTCGCAAGGATAGCGTCCGCAGCCATTACTTCGCCTGCTGATCACCGCATCCCGCACTTCTCTCTTGTATAGCCTGGCTGCCCTCTCCTCATTCTCCCCGCTACACTCACACGCGCTTCAATGGCTACTGGGGCTGGGTGGAGTTGCCGTCGCCGCGCACGCAAAGGAAGGAAAACGCCACACAGAAGGAGCATGTGGAGGAAGAGAACATGAGGAGGGGTGGAGGGGAACAAAGAAGAGAGGGAGGGAAAAAAGGAGGAGGAAGACGAGGAGGAGATTACTCCCAGGCTCACCAGGCTCTGCGTGGCGTTGCAAGACGCCACCAGCGACACGTCGAGGTCGTCGAGGGTGCCACCCGGTGGCTCACACCTATCGCCGAGAGGGGAGAGGAGGAGGAGGAGGAGGAGGAGGAGGAGGAGGAGGAGGAGGAGGAGGAGGAGAAGGAGGAATAGGGACGATGGGGAGCACAGCGTGGGGCAATGGGAAGAGAAGGAAGAGGGGGTCGAACAGGAGGAGGAGGAGGAGGAGGAGGAGGAGGAGGAGGAGGGGTGTCGAATGTCGAACTATCCCACGAAGCGATGGAGCATGAGGAGGAGGAGGAGGAAGAGGAGGAGGAGGAGGACGGGAGACGGGAAGGGAGAGGGGGACTGGGGAGGAGGCGAACAAACTTGAGAGGCGGAGAAGCAGGGAGAGAAAATGATGTTGCACCTTCAGGGGTCCTTGTCTGTCCCGTCGCGCCGCGATCCTCGTCGAATCCGTGTGGAACATGTCGAACCCATCTCGACTCCGTGTCGAATCCACGCCGAATCCGCGTCGAATCCGCATCGAACCCGGGTCAGGCACAGGACAAGACACCAGTTTTGGGGACAGGCGAAGTCCCCCGAATATTCATCGTAAGGGAAGAGGGAGCACCCACCACTGGCTCACGGGGGCTGCCCAGCACTACTTGTGGGACGACCCTGCAGGCGGCGCCCATTGCGTTCGAGCCAGAAACGGCGTGGACCAGAGGTACACGCTCTCACTTGCGCCCTTCGCAATCGGCATTGCGGACGCGCTCGGCGAGCTCTACGCATGTCTCCAAGCCCTCTCGACCTCCTGCATAGAGTCCGGCTACCTTTTCGACAACATTGTTTGTGCCCCGTCAGGGTGCACAGATGACGCCATCCGACTCGTAGCAATCACTCAGACAAACACCAAGGCGTGGACGGCGGGAGGGCGCGACCACCTGCTGCCACCGTCCAGACGCGCTCTGGGTTGACCATCTCGCCTGCTTGGGAACTGCAGCCCCTTAACTTGAAGTCGGGCGTATCCCCCCACAGGGGGAGTTTCCACGAAACATAAATTATCCTGGCGAAAGACCCAACCATATGCAGTTGTGAGCGCCGCAATTGTGAGTACCTTCTTCGGTGGCGCTCCCTATGGGGCCACGAACCGCATGAGGGGTATGCCGAAATATGGCGGGGTACACAACGCAAAGGAATACGATAGGTCAGATTACGAAAGAATGAACGCGGGTGGGCCAGAGCGCGAGAGAGTCTGAGTGTGAATGGGTCTGCGTGGGAGTGAGTATATTTGCACGAATGCGATCTTGGCTACGCCTAGTGTAAATGTATATGAATGTGAATGGCTCGAGCATGCCTGTCCGAACACTCGTGACACTGGGCGCGGCCGCCGCAGGCAGCTTCCGCGGGGACCCCGACGGCAGCGCCCGCGCGCCGCGACGCCCATGTCGGCACGCCCCCCCACGGGGATCGCACCCGCTTCCGCCCCTTCTTTCCCCCCCTCTTTGCCTGCGCGCTCCAAAAATCCAAAGCTGCGGGCGCAGAGCAGCGCGGGGTCCCCGCGACGCGCGCAGGTCGCCGCGGAGGGGCCCCAGCGACGCGCGCAGGTCGTCCGCTGCGCGGAGCACAGAGAGCTAGCCGGCCAGCTGATTGCGAGCAAGGCTCCGGCCGCTGGGCAGAGCGACGACGGGCGAGCGAGGCGCTGAGCAGAGCGCCGCGCGGAACCCCCGCGACGCGCGCCGGTCGCCCCGAGAGGGTCCCAGCGACGCGCGCGGGTCGTCCGCGGCGCGAGGCCGAACAATTATGCGGGCAGTCGAGTGAAGGCGCGGCTCGGGGGGGGCGCTCCTCAGGTCAGGCCTCGCGGATAAACTCGGTGAAGCGGAGCTCCCTGGCGAGGGCCGTCGCCTCCCTCCTGCACCGCTTCGTGCGCGCTGCAAACTGCTCCAGCTGCTTTCGCAGGCCCTCCGGCGGTCCTGCCAGGAAGAACTCGATGCGCGGCGCCCGCATGAGCAGGAGGTCCTCGTGGCGCGTGGCGCGCGAGAGCAGCACATAGAGCTCCAGCCACCAAACGTCGTCCTCCTTCTTGCCGTTCCCGACCTCGTGGCGGCCGCAGTCCAGGATCACACCTGGGCGACTCGGCCGAGGGAGCAGTGCGCCGGGCAGCCGACGGCCCAGGGCGAGAGTCCACAGGACCGAGGTCTGGCCGCGGACTGCTCGAGGTCTGGCCGCGGACTGCGGCGCCATGTGGGGTGCGCCAGTTGGAACTGAGATGGAGCTCCCTGTGGGGCCACGAAACGTGTGAAGGGGTGCCATGCGAACTGCACCACTGGGACCTTAGGTGCAACTCCCTGAGGGGCCACGAAACGTGTGAGGGGTGTGCCAAAAAGGGGCGGTGGCGCCATGCGAGCTGCGCCACTTGGACCTCAGGTGGAGCCCCCTGAGGGGCCACGAAATCTGTGAGGGGTGTGCCAAAATGAGGCGGTGGCGCCATGCGAGCTGCGCCACTTGGACCGTGAATGGAGCTCCTTATGGGGCCACGAAACGTGTGAGGGGTGTGCCAAAAAGGGACGGTGGCGCCATGCGAGCTGCGCCACGTGGACCTTAGGTGGAGCTCCTTATGGGGCCACGAAGCGTGTGAGGGGTGTGCCAAAAGAAGCTCCCTGAGGGGCCACGAAATCTGTGAGGGGTGTGCCAAAATGGGGCGGTGGCGCCATGCGAGCTGCGCCAGTTGGACCTCAGGTGGAGCTCCCTGAAGGGCCACGAAATCTGTGAGGGGTGTGCCAAAATGGGGCGGTGGCGCCATGCGAGCTGCGCCAGTTGGACCGTAAATGGAGTTCCCTATGGGGCCACGAAACGTGTGAGGGGTGTGCCAAAATGAGCGTGCGGGACGCATGCGGGCACACCCACTAGGACCTTCGGTGGAGCTCCGTATGGGGCCACGAAACGTGCGATGATGGCGACGAGGACAACGAGGATGGTGATGACGACGATGATGGTGATGATGACGATGATGGTTATGATGGCGGCCATGATGTTGATGCTGATGACGATGATGATAATGATGATGATAATGATGATGATGATGACGATGATGATGATGACGATGAGGATGATAGGAGGGGAGAGGAAGCGGAGGAGGAGAGGAGGAGGAAGGAGACGCGGGGCACCGTCTCTTCAAAACGAGGACCCAACACCACAGGATGGTTGGGAACAAAATAGGCAAAACATCATCAAACATGACAAACATAATTAAAACGTAGTCCCCAGACACTATTTTTGACTACTTTTGAATTTTCACCCCGTAGAGGGACAGGCCCGACTCAACCTTCACTCCGGCAGGAGGAGGACGGGGGGGGGGCCGCCCACGGCGGCCTGGACAGAGCCGCAGCCGTGGCCGAGGCCACGGCGTTCGCCGCCCCCCCGCGGGGCGCTGCGGCAGGCGGGCCTCCGCGCCGAGAGCGCCCTTCGCTCTGCGGCGGGCCTCCGCCCGCGGAGGCGTCGCGCACCGCCTCCGCGCCGACCTGCCGGGGGGGACTGGGCGGAGCCGCGGGGCCGCGTGCTCCTCGGCAGCCTCGGGCAGCCTGCTGAGCTGGTGGACCCTTGGACCCCCAGCGGCGCCTCCACGCCGCGCTGCGCCTCGCCCGACGGCGGGTGCGCCCTCCACTCGGCTACGCCCTGACGGCGCCCGCCGCCCACGCCGCCGCCTGGGCCCTCCTGCCCCACGACATGATGACCTGCCTCGGGGCCAACTCGCTGGAAGACTTCCGGGCCCGCTGCCAGCGAACGCAACCTCGCCATCGCTCGTACGTCATTGTTTTTTTTCGGTCTCGTGCGTGGTCTTTTCGCGAAACGATCAAGGATGCTCCTCGACGGTCCTCGCCGAGGAAAAAACGCACACGTCCGAGCGATGCCAAGCAACAGACGCTCGACCAGGCGGAGGCGGCGCTCTGGGCAGCAGACGCCATCCGAGCACCCTTCGTCTGGACAGGCGGCACGGCAGAAGCACGAAGCAGAAATCACAGGCCCACCGGGGCCAGGCTGCATCCGACAGGTAGAACCTGCTGCGGCCACACGACGAGGATCGCCGCCTACGCTTTTGCGAGAAGCGGGAGGGCCAGGAGCTGGCAGCTGGCCCCTCCCGCGCCAGCCAGGAGACCCCGGCCAGCCCGGCGCGCACCCCAACGGCAACCTGGGGTGGCAACTTTGCGTCCCGGTCCGCCCGGCTTCCGCCGTCAGCACCGCCGGCGTCACGGCGGCAGCCAAGTCGGAGGTAGGCGAGCCGCGCAACAGCCGACACACAATAGCTGCCGCGACTGGCACCCCACGAGGCACAAGGAGGTCACAGGCTTCGCGGCGCCCATGGAGCAGGCCGTCCCCGCATGGGATCGCCGCAATCAGCGCGAGGGGGCGCCCCAGCAAGCGGTCCTCGAACTCTCCCCTAGCGACCCGGCCGTCGCCCGCCAGATCTACGTCACCTGGTCCGTCACCTTCGTATACTCAACCTACGCTCCACGCAGGGGTGGCTTAGCGGCCGCCTATAACAGGGGAGATGTCGATCCCTATCCCAGGCTTTGCGGGGCTTCCACATGGACCAGGCATTTGGGGCCCAACCCATAGACATACGATGGAGGGGCGTCCATCCTCGATAGGGGTGCGTCCGAATAGCCCCCTTGGGGTGTATCCCAGGGTTTCCATCCCTTTTCTGAGCGTCTTCACTTTTCGTCGAAATCTGATCCACCTCGTCTTCGAGACGGACGGCCGGCCCGGCGACGAAGCAGCAGCTTCGCCCGCAGCAATGGAGCGGGCTTGGACGACGGCGAAAGCTCCGAGCTGCTGGGCGGCAGCTGGCGGCAGATCAGCAGGACCCTCTCAAGGGGCAATGCTGAGATGCTGCTGAGCGCGCTCAAGCGCTAGGCCAGCAACCCCGACCACCAGCACGACGACCAGCACGACCCCCACGACCACCTCCCACGATTACCATGACCACCAGCACGACGACCACCAAGACCACCCTACGACGAAGCACGACCACCTCCACCACCACCACCACCACCACCACCTGGACGGCGCGCCCACTACCACGGCCGCCACGACCATCACCACAGCCAACACCTGTACGACAACCGTCCGTGACGACCACTGCGACAAAACACGGCCACCATCTCGACGGCCACGACCACTACCACGACCACCGCCACCGCGACGGCGCGACGACCGCCCCCTCGCCGCGCCCAGGCCTCCTTTCCTCCCTTCCCTTCGCCCTTCCTTCCTGCCTCGCTTCCCTCCTGCCCGGCCGCCCCTGCCTGCAGTTTTCACCCATCCTCACCTCATCAACCGAGTCTCTCGTCAATCGGGGAACACGGCTGGACCTGGGCATGTTTTGTGCTACGTGCGCCAAGGCTGCAGCGCGCCGCAACGTGCGCCAGGAGTGCCGCCGGGCCTGGCCTCGAAGAGGCCAGGCCTACAGTGGGAGCTCGACCACAAGACAACTTCCACAAGAAACCCAACCCTGAGACCCCAGGACGTCCATTGAAGTTTGGTGTTGGAACGCCACGCTTTCCAGGGCAAAACTGCCGACACCCGAGAAAGCCAGGGCACCCTGGAGGCAGGGTGTATCTCGGCACGGGTTTCCACTGCAGGCGGTGTCCGAAGCGAAACCCTGGACCACAACACCGACGCCTGGGGGCCCCCCTGTGTGAGGGTGGTGGGGAGCCGCTCGTGTGCCCCTGGGCCGAGAGAGACATGGAGCAGAGGGAGGGAGGGTAGCAGAAGGGTTCGAGGGAGCGGGGGGGGAGGACGCAGAGGAAGGAGGAGGAGGAGGAGGAGGAGGAGGAGGAGGAGGAGGAGGAGGAGGAGGAGGAGGGGGAGGAGGAGGAGGAAGATGAGGAGGAGGAGGAGGAGGAAGATGAGGAGGGAGCAGAGGGAATGAGGCAGGGAGCAGCGGGAGGGAGCTGCGGGAGGGGGCGGGGCGTCAGACGAGCGGCATCCGAGCAAGAGGCGGTTCCTGTTGCGGACAGCTCGACGCGGACGACCCTGAAGGCACGTGCAGGCAGCAGGCCAGGGCGCTGCAGGACCGGAGCGGCAGATGGGTCAGAGCCCCCTCAACGAGGACTGCGATGACCGACGACGCTGGCGCGGCCGAGAAGCCTGTGGGCCGCGGGCCGAAACGCTCTCCAGGATGTGCTCTTGCCACGTGGAGCGTTCAAAGTCCTGGGTTAGCAGTGTTCTGGCTCAGGGGGCCCTGAATTGAATCATAAAAAAACGCCATAAACATCAACTTCTGGCGCTCCGCGCGGACGTCTTGCATCCGCGGTGGAGGCGCCGCCAGGGGGGTCCCAGCGCAGATCCAAGAAATCCGCGCGGAGCACCACAAATTTATGCTTGTGGCCTTTGTTCTTCTTCGACTGAATGAGCGGGGGTGTGCCCCCAGTTTCCCGCTTCATTCTGGAGCCCCTGGGGCCCTCTGGGCCTCGTGAGGGGTACCCTGGAGGCCGTCTGGGCCACCCCGAGAATACTAGGGGTACCTTGGGCCAGGGTTACGTCTAGCAATGCCCGATGGTTAGCAATGTTCTGGCTCAGGGGGCCATGAGAAGGAGGAACAAAAAGGAGGAGGAGGAGGCGGAGGAGGAGGAGGAGAAGGAGGACGAGGAGGAGGAGAGGAGGAGGGGCTAGGAGGGGAGAGGTGAGGATGGGCGAGAAGAGAAGAGGGCCGCGGCAGCGGCAGAGGGCAAGGCACGCACCGCCCGTTCTTGCAGCAGAGGAGGACCTGATGTGCGAGGGGGCGACCCGCTGCCAACTCCTCCTGCTCGTCCTCGCCCCCGTCGTCCTCCTCCTCATCATCAGCAGCAGCAGAAGCATCATCAACATCGTCATCATCATCATCATCACCACCACCATCCTCATCGTCGTCATCATCATATTCATCATCATCGTCCTCCGTGTCCTTCTCGTTCTCCTACTGCTCCTCGCTTCCTCCTTCTCCTGCTCCTCCTCCTTTTCATCACCCTCCTCGTCCTTCTGGCCCCCGTCCTCGTCCTCGTCCTCCTCCCCCTCGCCTTCCTCCCTCCTCTATCATGCGCCATTCGTCAGCCGGCCTCCATCCTATCCCTCATCATCAGCGGCAACATCAGCAGCATCACCATCACCACCATCATCAGCATCAGCATCAGCAGCATCATCAGCATCATCAGCATCAACAGCATCATCATTATCAGCAGCGTCCTCCTCTTCCTCTTCCTCCTCTTCCTCCTCCTCCTCCTCCTCCTCCTCCTCCTCCCCCTCCTCCTCATCGTCATCGTCATCGTCATCGTCATCGTCATCATCATCATCATCATCATCATCATCAGCATCATCATCATCATCATCATCATCATCATCATCAGCATCAGCATCAGCATCATCATCATCATCATCATCATCATCATCATCATCATCATCATCATCATCATCATCATCATCGTCATCATCATCATCATACCTCATCCCTCATCCCTCATCCCTGGTCAACAAAATTCGCCTACTGCTCGTCTTCATCCTTCTGCTCTACCTCCTCCTCCCCGTCCACTCGTCATCATTATCATTCGCGTCGTTGTGTTCCTCCTCCTCCTCCTCCTCCTCTTCGTCCTTCTCTTCGTCGTCGCTGGTGACGTCGTCGTCACCAGCAACAACAACATCGTCACCATGGCCGTCATCGTCATCTCCACCGCCTTCCTCCATCCTAAGTCGTCCAACCTTCTTCCTCGTCCTCCTCATCTTCCTAACTTTCCTCCTATCATCCGCTATTCCTCGTCAATCCTTCATCCTCCCTCCCTCCTCCTCTTCTTCCTCCTCTTCTTCCTCCCCCTCTTCCGTACATCATCATCGTCTTGATCAGCATCAGCATTCACCATGATCGTCCCACCAGCGTCATCATCGTCACCATCGTCAGTAGCACCACCACCATCATCATCATCATCATCATCAGCATCATCATCATCATCATCATCATCATCACCATCATCATCATCATCATCATCATCATCCTCATCATCATCGTCATCATCGTCATCATCATCAGCATCAGCATCACCAACATCCCCAGCAACAGCATCAGCAGCAGCACCATCCCTCATCCCTCGTCCCTCTTCATCAACCTCATTCTGGTGCTCGTCATCTTCCTCCTCATCATCATCGTCATCATCGTCATCAGCATCAGCATCATCGTCAGCAATCAGCATCCCTTATTCCTCATCCCTCACACTTCATCCCTCGTCATCAACCTCGTCCTACTGCTCGTCATTTTCGTTCTCCCCTACCTCGACCTCGCCCCCTTGGCATTATGCTCCTTCTCGTCTTCGTCCTCCTCGTCCCTCCCTTCGTCGTCGTCGTTGTCATCACCAGCAGCAACAACAACAGCAGCAACACCATCGTCGTCACCATCACCGTCATCGTCATCGCCACCACCATCCTCCGTCCTGATTGTTCCAACCTTCTTCCTAGTCCTTCTCTTCCTCCTCCTCGCCTTCATCCCTCCTCCATCATCCGTCCGTCGTCCCCCATCCTGAGTCCTCCTTCATCGGCAGTGTCCTCCCTCCTTATCCTCGTCGTCATCGTCTTCCTCGTAGTCGGCGTCCTCGTCTTCCTCCTGTACATTGTCATCATCATCCCTGTTCTCGTCATCGCGTTCATGAACATGGTACTTCGTATCGTCCTTATCCTGCCTTTCCTCTTCGTCATCCGCGTCCATCCTACGTTATCCATAGCTGTCCTCGCTATTATTGTCATATTCCTCCATCGTCTCGCCGCTGTCATCCGTACTTGCATACATGCAAGCGCCACGACTCTTCCACAAGCACCCATCGTGTATCCTACACGTTCCTCAACAGACGATCTTGCATTCGAAAAATGATTGCGCACTACACAGAGCTGCTCCAACCGTCCTGGTCGTGTCGCTCGAGACGTGGTCCAATCATCGGCAGAACACCCGCTGTCCCTCACACTTCGAATTTCATCCTCCCCCCCTCCTCCTCCTCCTCCTCCTTCTCAGACTCCTCCTCCTCCTCCTCCTCCCTTCCTCCCTCCCTCCCTCCCTCCCGCCCTCCGTCCCCCCGTCCCTCCCTCCCTCCCTCCCTCCCTCCTCCTCCTCCTCCTCCTTCTCCTTCCCCTCCTCCTCCTTCTCCTCATCCACCACCTCTTCCTTCTCCTCTTCCTCCTCCTCCTCCTCCTCCATCTGCTCCTCCTGCTCCTGCTCCTGCTCCTGCTCCTGCTCCTGCTCCTGCTCCTGCTCCTCCTCCTCCTCCGCCTCCTCCTCCCTGCCGCCCTCCCTCCCTGCCTCCCTCCTCGCTCCTCGCCCCCGCCCCGTCCCCCCGGCCCTCCTCGTGCTCCTTCATGCCTCTTCCTCCTCCTCTCCTCCTCTCCTCTCCCTCTTCCTCCTCCACCTCCTCCTCCTCATCCGCCTCCTCCTCCTCCTCCTCCTCCTCCTCCTCCTCCTCCCTACCTCCCTCCCTCAATCCCTCCCTCCCTCCCTCCCTCCCTCCTCCTCCTCCTCCCTCTTCCTCCTCCACCTCCTCCTCCTCATCCGCCTCCTCCTCCTCCTCCTCCTCCTCCTCCTCCTCCCGCCTCCTCCTCCTCCTCCTCCTCCTCCTCCTCCTCTCCTCCTCGATGTCCTCCTCCTCCTCCTCCCTCCTCCGCCTCCTCCGCCGCCTCCTCCTCCTCTAACCCTCCTCTTTACCCTCCTCCTGCTCCTTCTCCTCCTCCTCCTCCTTTCCTCCTCATCATCATCCTCCTCTTCTCCTCCTCCTCCTCCTCCTCCTCCTCCTCCTCCTTCCTCCTCCTCCTCCTCATCCTCTTTCTCCTTCTCCTCCTCCTCCTCCTCGCTCCTCATCGCTCCTCCTCCTCCTCCTCCTCCTCCTACTCGTCCTCCACCTCCTCCTCTTCCTCCTCCTCCTCTTTTTGACCCTCCCCTTCTCCTCGTCTTTCCATTCTTTGTCCTCCTCCTCCGCTCATCAATAAGGGCCAGGCGTTTGGTTGGCCGTCCAGCAGGACGAACGGGATGACCAGCACCCTCAGGATGGTCGGTGGCTCGGTGGGCACCTGGCTCGCCGTCTCCGGACAGGCCGAGGCAGCAAGAGGGTGTGGCGCCGGGCTTCGTGAGCGCAACGTCGGGCGCGAAGCGAACCACGTGGCAGAGAGTGGAGAGCACGGCTGCGGCTCGAGCGGGCTGACGAGCTCACTGGCGAAAACAGCCTGAGCGCTGACTGCTTGCGCCCTGTGGCCGCAACGTCAGAACACCTCAGAGAACAAGGAGGAGGAGGAGGAGGAGGAGGAGGGGGAGGAGGAGGGGGAGGGGGAGGAGGAGGGCGACGAGAGGGAGGAGGGCGGGAGGCCGAGGAGGGGGAGGCAGACGGGGAGGTGCAGGAGGGACAGGAGGGAAAAGGGAGGGAGAGTGAGCAGCACCAGGGGGACGGGAGAGCCGGCCCAAGGCCTACCCCCCTGCATTCGCGAGTTCGCCCTCCTGCTGCCGCGCAGAATCCCACCCAGCTCGACAGCGGGGACAGGACCGGGTCGAGGCCCGGTCAAACTAAGAGGTTGGCCCGGGAACGGGCGGGGCACGCACTGAAAACAGTGCGACCAGCATGCGCGAGGTCAGGCATGTGAACAAGAAGTGAGCAGGAGTCGTGCCACAGTGCGCTAACTCGACGAGGGGGCTGGCCACAGTGCGCGAATATCTTGAGCTCAGTTCAGTGGGGAAACCGATAGTACGAGCGAGGTGCGGGCATGGAGGTGCCTTCAGCTGGAGCCTCTCATTCCCTGTCTTCTATGAGCGACACGCCATTAGACCTCGTTGGCACCAACGCCGCCACCGATCATCAGCGACAGCACAGATCAGAAAGCCATCGGAGCACATTTGAGGTCGCCCCGTTTGCGTTGGTCATACACACACCCAAGATACAATTTCGCATTCTATATTTTTTAGCCCGAATGCAAGTATTCATTTTCAGCGAGGCACCACGTAGGTATCCTTGAGCTTGTCCACTTTCCTTGGCTCCCATCCTTAGTTGCACTGGGGAGGACATAGGAAGAGGAAGAGCCATGACACCACGATGGAGAACACATGGGAACAAGGAGCGATAGAGGGGAGCACAGAGGGCGCTGAGCGGAATGCAGGAAGACAACGCGAGAGAGAGAGAGACGATAGAAAAGAGGATAACGCGCCATTCGGCTCTTCCCCATCCTCCTTCACATCCTCTCGTCCTCTTCCACTTTACTATCCTCGGAGCGCCTGGGTAATCCAGCCATCCTCTTCCCTGGTTGAAGGAGGAATATTGAAAGCCACTCATGTGGAAAGAAGCCTAGGGTTCAACCAGGATCGCCCCGACATGCTTGGCAGTATAAGTGCAGTAACTTGGCTTCCACTGGAAGCATCGACTTGCCCCTTGCTCGCTGCTGACCCATGTGCAGTAGTCATAAGCTGCCGCTGGTACCTCGCAGAGCCTGACCCGTTCAAGCGCATGTTCTCAAAACGAGCCCGGCGTGCGCCCAAATTTGGAGAAGGACGAGGAAAGCTGAGGGAATGACCACAAAACATCAGATGAAGAATGACCGCGAAACTTTCGAAGTACACGTCCTTGAGATGAGCTCGGCTTGAGCCCGGTCATGATGAGAGACGCCTGGTAAAGATCTACGAAAGATCTTGGCGAGAAAAAAAACGGACAAACGTCAGGGAAAGAGAAAGCTGAGCGGGCGGAATGCAACCAGCATCACATCAGCGGCACACGAAAGGTAAGCGAATACTAAGCCAACTTCAAATGAACTGTTCGAGGGCAGCCAACGCCACCCTGGACAAAGAAAAGCCGGCAGGTCGGCTTCAGGGCAAACCAAGTGCACGCTGGAAGCAAGCTTAAAGCAAGCTAGAGGCAAGCTGAATGCAAGCTAAACGCAAACAACGGACACGCTAAAAGGGAAGCTGAAAACACATCGAACAACACACACACACACTAACAGTCAGGAGCAAACGAATTGCAAGCTGCGAGCGCAAACTATATGCAAGCTACAAATGACAAGCACATGCAACTTGCTAACGGCCAGCTAGAAGGCAAACAACATGCCGGCCAATGGCAAGTGGGACACCATCTAAGCGCAAACGAAATACAAGCTAACAACAAATTCTTGGCAAAATGAAGCCCGTTCAACCCCCGCCACAGCAAGTGATTGGCCAGCTGAGGGCAAAAGGTATCCCAGGTGAAGGGCAAATCAAAAATCGAACGGGAAGCGACAGGAACCTCTGAAAAAGAACGGTCTGATCCTCGAGGGAGCAAGGCGGATACCCCCCTTGGAGCCAGAGGGGAAGGTGCGTACAAGCAAAGTCTTGCCTCAAAAAACCCTATGTAATGTCGGGTGCGGAGCCTCCTGTAGGCCCCAGTTGCCCGTAAATGTTCGGAGTGTGCTGAGGTTTCTTTAATAAAAAAACAGAGGAGGACCTGACGAATCCCGACCCCATCCGAAACCAGAGTGGTATGACTTCCAAGGTGTTCGCTGTGATGCAGCAGTGCCCATGTGCAAAAAACAAAAAAGAACGCAGTAGGCAAACTGAAGAAAAAACACTGCATCGACTGGCCCCGTGTTGCGGCGGCTCGATCTGAAGTTGCTTGCGTATGCGCATTGGCTGGCAGCGCCGCTTCGTGCCTGGGTTTGCTGCTACTCTCCCGGGCTGGACTAGAAACAAACAACAAGGCACAAACATCAAGTTTCGGAGAGGTGTGCGCGGAGCGACGAGAAATTCTGATTATGCAGACTTTTTGCTTCTCGGATTCCTGGGCTGGATGACCTGTTCAATTCGTTGCCTGGCCGCCCGGGGCTGGTGCCTGCTTCGCACTGCCGCTGCACTAGCGGCAGCGTGGCGAGAAGAAGGCGCCGGCCGGCCTGCGCTGAGCCCCCGGCCCAGGCGCAGAGCGGCCTCCATCACAGTGCCCTTGGCCTGACCGCTCTCATGGATGGTATGGCCGTGGACCTGCACGCGGGAGGCTCTCTTCCTCCTCCTCCTCCTCCTTCTCCTCCTCCTCCTCCTCCTCCTCTTCCTCCTCCTCCTCCTCCTCCTCCTCCTCCTCCTCTTCCTCCGCCTCCTCCTCTTTCCCCTCCTCCTCCTCCTCCTCTCCTCCTCCCTCCTCTTTCCCCTCCTCCTCCTCCTCCTCCTTCCTCCTCCTCCTCCTCCTCCTCTCCTCCTCCTCCATCCTCCTCCTCTCCACTCCCCCCTTCTCCTCATCCTCCTCCTCCTCCTCCTCCTCCTCCTCCTCCTCCTCCTCCTCCTCCTCCTCATCGCTCTAGAACCTGCCCGCGATAGTAAAAGAAGCAGAAAGACAGAAGGACGAGGACGTAGCCTCCTCCAGTTCCTGCTTAAGACGGCGCGGGCGCCGCACTCGCGAGAGGAGAGAGAGGAGAGGCGAGGCAAGCAACAGAGGGGCCGGGAGAACCCAACATCGAATCGACGAACCGGATCGGCGATCGAAACGGATCGGATCGGCAAACGTCGGCCGCCGAGTGGGACAAAAAATGTCGAATCGGCGGAAGTCGGCTGGCTAGAAAGCCTCCAAGAAGAAGCAGGATCTCAGATCGGAGTCCCAAGTGATATCGAATCGGAATCGGAAGCCATCGAAGTCGAATCGAATCGAACCGGAGGAACCGAGCCGAGCCCTGAGAGGGGGGACGGGGGGGGCCCGCGCTGAGCAAGGGCCCCAGGATCCGCGCCCACCGTCAGTTGGCCTCACGCCCGTGCCTGCGATTCTGCAGCAGGCAGTCCCTGCCCAGTGGCGCGCTGAGAGTAGGGGTCGACAGGGGGGAGGATAACACTGCCCCGACTCTGGTGCAATGTCGTCCAGGTCTTATGTCGGGCCTGTCCCCCTACAAGGAGATTTTCGACGAAAAATGAGAATGACCCCAAAAATGGCCCCAAAAGGTCAACAAATACTCACAAAAATCATCCCCTGACTATTTTTATGTTTTGACTATTTCTGGGTATTATTTTTTATTCTTCGTCAAAAAATCCCCCTGTAGGGGGACACGCCCGACACAATCCAGGTCCCCAGCCCCAGGGTCTGCAGGCAAGGCGCGGGGAGCGCTTGGAGGGCCGCCCGTGTGCCATGGCGCGAGCCCATGGCCGGCAGAGCGGCGGAGGGTAGTCCTCCTCCTCCCCTCCTCCTCCTCCTCCTCCCCTTCCCCCTCCTCCTCCCCTCCTCCTCCTCCTCCTCCTCCTCTTCCTCCCTACTCCTCCTCCCTCCTCCTCTCCTCTTCCCCTCCTCCTCCTCCTCCTCCTCTTCCTCCTCCTCCTCCTCCTCCTCCTCCTCCTCCTCCTCCTCCTCCGTCCTCCCCGTTCCCCCATAGAGAAGCGCTCTGTGCGCACGCCCCCTGGTACAGTCAGCCTGGATAGTATGGCTGCGCGACAGGGATGCAAGTCGGGTCGGGCGAAAGGGGGGAAGGGGGGGATAGCAAGGGGGAGGTTTGAGAATCAGCTCGCGTAGCTGATTTTCCCGGCGCCTCCCGGCGCCAGAGGCGGCGATGTATCGAGGAATGGGCCCCTCGTAAGACGAAGCCAGGATCGGGGCAAAGTTTGACCGGGATAAAAATCATGCTCGGTTTTTCAAATCACCGGGGGCGCCGCCGAACGGGCCTGCCACGCCTTGGGCACCATCGGCTTCGCGAGGGAAGGAATGCGCCCCGGCGCGGATGAGGCCACGGCGCGTATTTGGCCACGCGCGCGCCCGAGGGAATTCAGCGCCAAGCGCCCTTCACTCCAGAAGACCCGACGTCAACAAAACTAACTTGAAGCCCCAAGGGGGCCCCAAAGAGGCGGACCGCCAAAACAATCACGCAACCAACGCAACGAAAAAACACGTGCAAATGTCAAAAAGCGCAGTACTCAGTGACCTCTTCGGCCACGCAACACTGCGAGAATGCCCAAGAAGGCATTGGAAAAAGAGCCCGCGCGCGGCCTGGCGACTTCCCCGCGCCGCCCCAAGGTTCCCGAAGCGCGCCGAAATAACCGTAGAGAAAACCCCAGAAAGTCTTTGGAAGGCCCCCGCACCATGCAATATCCGCCACCGAATAATCTCGCGGACACCTAGCGCGCACGCGCGGGCGTCCACCATGGATGCCCAACTCCGGTTTCGGAGACAATCGCGCGCAACGGCCCGGGGGCTTCGGCAACCTCGCGATTGGCCCAGGGGCCCGCGGGCCCCAGGGAATCGAGGACCGAGTTCGCGACTCCGGAAGCATCGGGCGCGGCGCCAGCCAGTCGCTCGTCTCTGGCTGACAGTGGGGCGCCTGGAGATCCGCTAAAACCTGAGGAACCGCTTTTCAGAGATTCACAGAACCAGAAAACGGGGCGCGCCAAATTCTCGCGTCCAAACTTATCTGAGAATCTCTGAAAATCTCTGAACTAGACACCCCGCGTGAAGCATTCCCATAAGACCAAAACCTCGGAGCTGGCCGAAACTCTCTGAGAGTTTTTCGGCCCGCGAAATTTGGCGCGCCCGGATTTCCCGTTCCGAGATTCTCTGAAATCGGCCTGCGGCGGCGCCCAGCAGGTCCTCACGCGCCGAGGGTGGGGGGCCGTGGACATCGCAGGCCGCGATGGTCCCGACCACGAGGTCCTTCCTCCTGCCCCTCGACGAGTCCACGCTCATGGACACGCTCTCTGCGCTGAGCGTGGACCGCGCCATCCGCCGGTACTTCTGCGCGACGACAGCCAACTGGCCGCCGACGGACAAGGCGATTCTTTTCCGAGCTGCGCGTGCCACCGAAAACGTACAATAGCCCCGGGCTCGGGGAGAAACACTTTCGAAGCATTTTCAGGCCGCCAGCGTCGTGGCTGCCGACCCGCCGCGCGCCGACCGCGAGACTAACTGGGCCCGCCACGTCCACGGCGGCGGGCGGGCGCCCAAGAGAGCTGTCGCGACGGTGCGCGCGGCGGGGCGCCCGCCCCACTGCAACCGCACATGCGGCCTCCATGGCGCCACAGGCGTAATATGCGTGACGCACTCCCGGGCCCCCCATCAACACATCGGCCAGCGCCCGAGCCCCTGAAACGCAAACCTACTGCGCCCCCCGTGCAAGCCGCACACCCGCTCCCAATGCTCGCGCACACCAGCTTTTCTGCCCGCCCTCAACAGTTTGATTGAGCGCCCATGCGATACTTGGGCTCCTCAAGCCCTCGAAAAGTCCTTGGGGAACTTCTGCGAATGCGCGCGCCGCGCTCCACAATTCGGCGTTCTATTTTTCTTTGGAACTCTCCCAGAATCTCTGGTTCCGATTTGTCCCGATCTTCCGCTCAACTGACCTCGGTGGGGCCGGAACCAGCTGCAGGCAGCAAATTTCGTAACCCCCCCTTTCCCAATCCCCCCCTTTCGTCCGGCCCGAGCAAGGGCCTCGGACGCCTATTTCGGAGCGTTTCGAGCGGGGCGCGGCCGGCGAAAGCAACGAAGGATGGGCCGAGGAGGCAAGGATGCAAGGGTACCCTTGGGAGGGATGCCTGTCCTTACTATGCGGGTTGACTGTACACCTTCCTCCCCCAGGGCAAGCGCAACACTGTGCTGCAAGGCGGGGCAACACACTCCAAGGTGTCCTGTGGGTTTGAACACCTGAGAACCGAACAAGCACCGACCTATCCTTGAACAGGGCGACTCCTGGTTGCTCAATCAACGCACGGATGCGCGGCAATCTCGAGCTGGTGGGGGCTTGTGGGACCGACGAACTGAGAGCAGTATGCTCCATGATGGCTGGCACACCGCTCAGCCAGCACGTGTACAGGAACTCCATGCTGGTGCGCAAAAGACAAATGCCCAGCCTGAGCTGCTGGAATTCCGCCTCGGATGTGGGAGAGCCCCCAATAGGTGAGGGATGGAGCGGAGACGGCGCGGGGGACGAGTGAAATGGCCTTCTTTGAGCGGAGGTGGCGTGCAGCACTCCAGGTTTATGTTGTTTTCGTCCTACTTAAGTACCACATCCAAGAAATAATTTCGAGCACCCAGAACAGTGTCAAAAGAGTGTCGAAACAGTGTCCAAACAGTGTCGGGCGAGTCTCTCCCAGGGCTCGACATGTGAAAACCCTCGAGTTTCGGTACTTTTTGGGGCGCTCGAAATTCTTCCTGGTGAAATAGGCTAAAGTAGGTTGGAGCATCATAACTCCAGGTTTCGCAAGGTGGTCCGATGACCACTCCCCACACCTGTCTTCACCTGACTCTGCCAATCCAGAGAGCCACCGTTTCCTGTCGCGTGGGAATTTCCGTTCGCACTTATGATTAGCAATGTCCACGCAAAGAAGCAACACTCGCATCGGAAAATCGTCAACATCTGCTCCTCGTACTTTCCTTCCTTCCTGTTCCTCGCCATCTTTTTCTTGATTTCTTCCCGGGCAAGATCCATCGCCTCCCTGGGCGCTAGGATGCTCGAAATCCTGTAGGCCGAGAGACAATACTGGGATCCGTGCAGATGCTTAATGAGACGAACTCCCTCCCGGAACTCCCTCATACACAGTTGGCAAATGCTGCCGATTGCAATCCTCGTGGGAGCATCGTCAGCGGGATAGAATTTCCCTTCGTGGGCGTTGAGTACACGCACCGTGTGGGCAAGGTACCCACACTCATAGCACACGAACTTGAATTGAGGCAAGGGGGAAAAGTTGTCGTGCGTGTCGAGGCAGCTAACTGAATCCTTCAGGCCTTTCCCTAGTTCCCGTCCCGAGGTAGTCCGCCCCGTGCTCTGCTGCAACATGTCCTCCCAGCTAATCCTGTCAGCTTCGTCTTGCAACTGTCTGATGGCTCTGTCGAGCGCTCTTTGCAAGCCAGCTCGATAGTGTTGTTCGGTCCCTGTTTGGCCATCTCGAGCCAATCATTTTTTTGTTGGCCTTCTCCTCGTCCTCCTCCTCCTCCTCCTCTTCCTCCGCCTCCTCCTCCTCTTCCTCCTCCTCCTGCTCCTCCTCCTCAGCTCCTCCCATGAGCCATCTCGCTCAGGGTGGGC